ATGAAAATTCATTATATTCTAATCTTTCGAAAATATAATCTTTTACTTTTAAATTTTTTAAAAATAATTTTTTTTTTATATAAAAAATTTTTTAATAATAAAAAAACACCCCGCCATTACTTTTTTGGGGGGCTGTATGTCTTTTAGATTTTTCCAACAGCGAAATCAGACTTGGAAAAAACATTATTGATCCCAAAGATTTGGTGGTGCCAAACCAGTATCTGATTCAACAAATTTTATCATTTTACTGGTGCAAGGTGGCTATTACGCTACAGTCTCACCGGTCACAATTAAGTGAAAGAGCATGCGAGGATTATGGAGTCTCCTCCTACACTATCCAAGTAAAAATATGTGGATATTCGGGAAATTTATGGCATTCAACCATAGATGCTACCAAAATTAAAAATATAAAACTCCCAATCCCAAACCCAAATCACAAATTATTCAAACACATTAAACCCTTTTCATTAATATCACTGCACAAATTACATGTTAATATTAATATGATATTTCAACAGTTGTTACAGATGAACATGACCAGGGAGGAACCCCTACCTGATAATTCGCACCATATAAATACATAATCAAAGAAAATCATTTTATAAGATTTTTTAAAAAAATTCGTAGACATGTCTCCAATAGAAAATTGGGAAAAATGTAATTATAATTCTATGATAATAATAAATTGATCTATATCATTATATTAATGCAGGATTTTTATTAGACGATAAACAAGCTGAAGATAAAGAAGAGGAGAAAATTGTTGGTAATGATTTTTTCGATTAAAATGAAATTACTTTTTGTTTTAATTTCATTGTGATTTTCATTTTTTTTGTTATTGTTGAAGCACTTGATGAAGGTGATATTGCACTTCTTAAAACCTATGTAAGTTATTTATTATATAATTTGTCGGTTGATTTCCAAATCTGGAATTCTTATGCACATTATCAATTTATTTTATAAGGGTCAAGGTCCATATGCAAAAGAATTGAAAAAAATAGATTCTGATATAAAAGATGTACAGAAACGAATAAATGAAAAGATTGGTAAATTTTAAATTGGAAGTTACCAGTAAAATGATAAACCGTTAAATTGGTGACTGTTATGATGATAATATTAATGATATTGTTAATTGAATTATTTAGGTGTTAAGGAATCAGATACTGGTTTGGCACCACCAAATCTTTGGGATATTCCTGCTGATAAACAAAGAATGCAAGAAGAGCAACCATTACAAGTATTATTTTATTTTATAATCGTCATTATTAATAATGATTAGTGCCAGAGAAATTTAATTCGTTAATTATCAATTTTATAGGTTGCAAGATGTACAAAAATAATTGAAGCTGGTGAGGGTGAAGAAGCAAAATATATTATAAATGTAAAGCAAATTGCAAAATTTGTAGTGGCATTAGGTGAGCGTGTTTCTCCAACTGATATTGAAGAAGGAATGCGTGTTGGGTAAAATTTATATTCTTTTTTTTAAAAAAAGAAAATCTATGGCTTAAATTATATAATGGTTTTTTCATGTGTGTGTGTGTGTGTATAGCGTTGATCGTAATAAATATCAGATACAGATACCATTGCCACCAAAAATTGATCCTTCAGTAACAATGATGCAAGTTGAAGAAAAGCCTGATGTTACATATAGTGATGTTGGTGGTTGTAAAGAACAGATTGAAAAACTTAGAGAAGTAGTGGAATTACCATTATTACAGGTAAAAGATGTTATTTTAATAATATGTATATATATGTATATATATATATATATATATATATATATATAGTAATTACAAATATTTAAAATTTTTATTTACTTAATTTTTTTCAGCCAGAGCGATTTGTAAATTTAGGTATTGATCCTCCTAAAGGTGTATTGTTATATGGTCCTCCTGGTACTGGCAAGACTTTATGTGCGCGTGCTGTGGCAAATAGAACTGATGCAACATTTATTAGAGTTATTGGTTCTGAACTTGTACAAAAGTAATTGTCATCCCTAATTTTAATTTATTAAATGTATCTGTTTTATAAGTATTAATATACTAACATTGTTTTCATATAGATATGTTGGAGAAGGTGCAAGAATGGTTCGTGAGCTGTTTGAAATGGCAAGAACTAAGAAGGCTTGTATTATATTTTTTGATGAAATTGATGCTATTGGAGGTATGATGGATTTTTTTATATGTTATAGAAAATAAATAAAATCTTTTGTTTGTTAATCAATAATCTTTGCTGGTTTATTAATAGGTGCACGTTATGATGATGGAGCTGGAGGTGACAATGAAGTACAAAGAACCATGTTGGAATTAATAAACCAATTGGATGGTTTTGATCCACGTGGAAATATAAAAATTTTGATGGCTACAAATAGGTAAGCAAATAAATAATTATTGAAAATGTTAATAATAAATATTATGATCATTATTTGATTTTACCTATTAATTCTTTTGCAAATAATAGACCTGATACACTAGATCCTGCACTTTTACGTCCAGGTCGTCTAGACCGTAAAGTTGAATTTTCTTTACCAGATTTGGAGGCATCTATTAAATTTATTCATTGTTTTACTTTATTATTAGATTTTCGTAAATATTTTATTCTTAAAAATTATTTACTTGTTATCTTATAGGGTCGTACACATATTTTAAAGATTCATGCAAAAAGGTATTTTTTTAAAAAACTATTTTTGAATTTTTTGATTATTCATTCTATGCAAATTACATATTTATATATAATGATATTTTTGTTGATGTTAATACAGCATGTCTGTAGAACGTGATATTCGTTATGAACTTATAGCTAGACTTTGTCCAAATAGCACCGGTAAGTATACTGATTGATTGATAAACAAAAATTTAATATACATTCACATTATTTATCTTACATATATATCTTAAAATAGGTGCTGAATTAAGAAGTGTATGTACAGAAGCAGGAATGTTTGCTATTCGTTCCAGAAGAAAGGTTAGGTTTATTATAATGTTTTTACTTTTTATTGGTCATTATTATTATTAAATAATAATACATATATACATAAATATATTTGTATATAGGTTGCATCAGAAAAGGATTTCTTGGAATCTGTTAATAAAGTTATTAAGGTGCGCATGAATGAAATTTTTTTGTTACATATTTTTATTTGCCAAAAATTACCATTTTGCTAATATTATATTTTTACATTATAGTCTTATGCAAAATTCTCTTCTACCCCAAGGTAACCTTTTTTAAATAATTTTGATTTCTTTTTTAAAGTTAATTTATTAATTATTAATTTTTTCTTTTTAATTAGATATATGACATACAATTAATTAGAGTAAAAAGTATGAAAAAAGTTTTTATATTAATTATTAATTATTATTAATTAAATAAATAAATCACTATTTTAAATAAAATAAACAGAATTTTACATTTTTAAATATACAATAATCCAAAAATCATATAATAACAAAATTATTGAAAAAAAATATATTATTGGTATAGTTGGCTCGGTCTAAAATTCTGGGCAAATTTTAAAAGTATTGAAGTCACTTTCTGTCCTACCTTTTTAAAAATAGCTCTATCAGTTGATAGAATATGTCTTTAGTTTTAATGTAATAGAGATTTTCTCAAAAATTATTTGTTGTAGAGTTCTATTCTTTTTTAAAACATGTACTTTACTATGCTCGCGAGGAATGATCATTTCTAAATTTAGGAAAATATTACTATCGTATCTAAATTTGGCAGTAAGAAAACCAAAATCACGTGAAGTCCTATTTTTTAAAAAATTTTATTACATTTTTGAACGAAATTTGGCCGCATGGCGCAGCAATAGAAGGTCTTTAGGCCGAGCCAACCATACATTAATCAACATGTAAATAAATTCTTAAATAAAAATCATCTTGTCAAAAACATAATAAAAAATTTCTTACCTAATAAAAATAATTGCATTTTCTATTTCCTTTTACACTAATAAATTTAAATAAATAAAAAATTGACTAAATTATATTTACATAATTTATATTTACCCTTGATTGACACCTTGAGATCTATCTTGACAATATCCAATTTTTTGAAATGGGGTTTTTGTGAATAAAACCAGCTCAATCCCAACATCATCATTAACACATAAATCAGATAAAAATTCATTATGCAGATTATTGACTTTTAATTTTTTTGTGTCTTGCTCATAACATCTCCTTGTATGTGACTGCCTCCATCCATCAAATATTCATGATGGTCATGATGTTATAATTGACATAACAAACAATTTCATCACCCAAATAGTAACAATACCAAGGCCATGCATGAATGAAACTCTTAACAATGTATGTCTACCTGAGGATCAAAAAATAATTCTCCTTCTCATTGTATAGTTCCTTATGAATAATAAAACTGATGTTGATCACAGGTATCAGATTTAATTAAAACTTTCCTGTCGCAAACACGCAGTCAGGTGCTTTCACACGCTTCAGCACCATGAATTTTCTCCACAGTTGAAGCACCCCACATGTTGGAAGGTTTTGGACAAAACTTTCCCTCATCTTCCTCTCGGACCAGGCTTGGCTGTTACCATATGATTGATTGCTGATGAGATCAGCATTTGGGTGTGTTTGCTTTGTGTTATATCCAACTGATTCAAAATTCTCCAATACAACCTGGGTTGTTGTTTTGGATTCAGAGTTTTGAGTCCTGGTTGCTGTCTTGTTGGTGGCACACCTTCTCATCAACAACCCTACCCCATTTATTTAAATAACCAATTCAGTTGGTCAAAATAAAAATTAAAGAGAAACAGGAAGTTTATGGGAAATGATTAATTTATAATATATCAAACCATTTTATTTTACAGCCTTCCTCCTAACATCAGAACCCAAATGCAATTTCAGGGCCACCAACCCTGCTCTGAATTGTAACCTCCCTATGCTTGAAACGAGTTGCAGATTCTCTTAATATTCCTCCAGAGTTGCGACTTGGTTGCAGAGCCATCTTTACCCTAGAGATAGGATCGTTGTAGGCAACTTTTCGGCTAGCGTGTCAGCAGCCTTCTCTGGCGAGGGAAGATTAGTTAAAAGCGCCTTTGACGATTGATGCAGTCTCGGCAAACTCCAGGGCCACGTATTTCCCCCCGGAATTCTGAATCATTGTATCATAGGTCCATCAGGTCAGATTATCCTTGTGCACACGAGGAACGTGTGAGAATGACTGTAAAGTGTTCAAGACAGCGTGCGTGCTTCAACATCCGCAAATTTCCGATAATCAAACATTGCATACTCGAAATGTCTCTTTTTCAACTTTGACATCTTGTAATAAATATTAATAATATTATTATTAACGATTACGCAAAGCAAAATACCAATCGTTCATTTGGTTGTCATCTTGATAAGGATCTTATAATTACCCAACAAGATCTGCTCCGCGTTTTGATTTCAATTAAAATATTTATAAACTAAAAGACATCAATACAAAAAAAAGTGTACCTCTGTCATTAACACGTCTTCAGATCCAAACCATGCCAAACAACATCATTCGTATTTATCATTGAAAAATAAATTGTTTTTTCAAAAAAAAAAAAAACAATTCGCGTCAACATAAATAATTAATGTGTACGCGTTTGTCGATCAAGCAATAATTCTTCTAAAAAAAACAAAAAATGTCTTCAAGAAATAATTCAAAAAGACAAAAAGAAGTGCAAGAAGATATTACCGGGTAAGTGTTTATCATAAGAATGGTGTTGGTGGTTATCGCCACTCGTCGTCACTCAAGTTAACGTTAAATTAAGAATATATGAAAAGTCATGTCTGTGATCAGTTTATTACAAAAAACCTTGTCAATTTTGACCTAAATACAAATAAGGAAATTGTTTTCATAAAAAACTACGAACCTCTATTATATATATGTATATTAGTTAGCTACAGGGCGCAAAATGCCAATCGGAAAATTTATAAGTATATTTTTTTTAATGATTATAAAAAATTAGTTTATTTGAGTATGGATTTAGAAGTAGCTCAAGGTATGTTCTATAAATATCAATTCTTCCAATGCCTTCTTTCTTTGTCAAAGTAAAAAATTAATTATTTTGATATTTCAGTTTATTACATCCAGAAGAAAATTCTAATAATAGTACTTTTGATGCTGAACTTGCTGAATTGAATATGAAAATGAAAATGAAAATCAATTAAATCAATTGAATAAAAAATAACAATCAATAGTTTCAAACAAAATGGTTATCTGAATATAAATGGCTTCATTATGACCATATACATAAACAAATGATTTGTACAATTTACATTCAACATAAAAGAAAAGATCAATTTGCCCAAGAAGGTTTGTAATAGAATTATTTCTAATATTTAATATATATAGTATTATTAAAATTTTGACATTCATTTAGGTTCAAAAAATATAAATAGAAAATCAGCAATAAAATGTCACAAGGATTCACAAGATCACAAGCAGAAAAGTTAGAACTTTCCAAACTTCCAACAGAAAGATTAGTAGAAAAATTAAATGACAAATTTATTAATGAAAGTGATATACATATTATAAGCATAATGAAGATTGTTTATTATATTGCACAAAATCATATTCCTATGAAAAATTACCATCTTTAGTTCAACTTGCAAAGAATTGCATACACCAGATATTTCTGATAAATCATTCTCATATAGTAATGAAATTGCTGGTAATGACATGTTAGCTGCTTTATCAGAAGTTATCTCAGAAAAAATATGGAATGAATTGTCAGGAGTAGGAGTTATAATAGATGAATCCACTGATATAACTACTACAAAACTTAATCAAGTCAAAATTACATAATTCTCTTAGCACAAAAACATATCTAAGGCTCCGAATGAATCAATGAAATTTGAACCAATTCGAATTGATTCGAATCACTTAATTTTTGATTTGTTTCATTCAATTCAAATTTGAATTGAATCTGAATTGTACTTTGTTTTGATTTGTTTTGATTTGATTTGAACTGATTCAAATATATAATTTGATTCAAATGGATTTGAATTCAGACTTAAAGAAAACAATTTGGATTCATCTGGGGATAAGTTGGACATAAAATGGAGATTGGACCAATTTAGCAATAATAATAAAATAAATTATTCTCTGTTGACAATTGATAATACTGATTTAAAAAACTTGTTAAATGAAAAATTAATACCTGGATTTGCTTTAAGAAGTAAACAAAAATTCAGAAAAAGAGGTGGTAAAAAACTTGATTTAAAAGTAGTTGAAAAGTTGAAAGAAATGTTCTTGGCTGATAATATAGAAAAAAGTAATAAATTTTCACCTGAAGATATGTTAAAAATCTTCAAGTGTGTGTTGAAAACAATGAATTAGAAACTGATGATATTCCTTCTCACCAACAAATTAAATCATGGATATCTAGGTTTAATCAACATCACAAAAAACAAGCAGCTGAAATTGCAAGTTCTAGTTAATTAAAAACAATATTTCTATTCATGACCACTGTTCGAAATTCAATCGGCGGAATCGGCGCGCACTAACCAAATATGGAAATTAACCGCAGATAATTTCTAAAATTAGATTAGTTTATGTAAAGGCGCAGTCGAATTTCGAACACTGACTCTCACCCACTTTTGATAATTGTAGTTTTCAAAAATGTAGTATATTTAAAATTTTTTTATGTTCCTTCCTGGCTAGTGAGTGATCATGAATATTCAAAATCAAGTGATTTGGACTTTTTTGATGTGTAACCCCCTTAATGAATATTCATGCATGTAAATTTCTCAATTAAAAAATTAAAAAATTTATGTATACTGTACAATATTTTGGAAAAACTCTAATAATTGAAAAAAATTCTAATATTAAGAAAATTTTCACATGCTACAAATTGGTACATGCATGTAAAATTTATCATTATATAAAAATTTTAAAAAATATTTTTTTATGTTTATGCAAAATTTTGTACAATTGTCATCTTTTTTAAATGAAAGGTTGATCGTATGCGCCGTGAAAAAAGCAATTGTGAGTTAATGCCATCACTATAATATACAACTCTTCATTAGAATATATTTAAATTAGAAATTATACTACTCGCTTTGCATAGTGATTTTTTTTTTCTAATAATAAATGATTGATTCACGAATAATCAATAAATTTCTTTATGATAAAAGTGTCAAAAGGCACCGTCTGGTTCAATTCCACCGCAAATTTAATATAGATCGTCAATATAAATATTGCATTAATAATTTATAAATCAATTAGAACT